CCTAATCTAAAAAGTTGGGTTGGTAAAGGGATACATTGCCAAATAAACTTGCACTACTTTGAGTTTGTCCATGACAGGGTTACTGTTTATCTGCTTGCAGATTTAAAAAAAAAAGTGTAGGAGCTTGACCTACATTAATTTCTTACAGCCTAAGGTCTAATAAAAATTGGTTTATTAAATTATATTTATTAATTATTAAAAAGCCACATTGGAACGCAAACAAATAAAGCATTTGGCACTTTTATTCGTTCAAGTTAAAACTACAAACGAAATAACACTAGATTGTAATGATCGAATATATGGCATAAGTAAATGCTTTAAAATAATAATAACATTAAGAACATATAAACTTTAGAATAGAATCTCTCACACTGAAGCTTCACAAAAAAGAATAACGTTATGTGCGAGCTTGAACGTAGTCATCGGAGAGCAGAAACAAGCAAAACTTTTTTTTTTCTGTTTTAACGTTGACAAGTTTGTAGCAATATTTGTTTACAATACAGAATATGAATAACATTGTCAATTAAAATTAGATACGAGAGAGAAAGACAGAAGAAAAAAAAAGAGTAAAGAACATGATATAAACTTGAGGGTAAGACATTTAAGAATCATGAACAGTACATAAATTAAAGTCATTACAAAATGAAATAGTTCTGTTTGCTTTCTTATTTTTAGATAATGAATTTAATTGTAGGCTATATAATGACTAAATTCTTGCAAAAAAAAAAACAGGAAAATAGGGTTTAGTATTAGTAAATTTGCATTTGTGGATATGGAATTTACAAAGAAAATAAATAAAATTTATAACAAAACAAGCATTTCTCTTAGTAGGGGCAGATTCATAATAACCAAAAATAATTTCTTTAAAAGTAACCGAGACATCTTGTTGTATATTATCATTAATAAATAATCCAATATGTTTATAAAATTGTACAGAATTACACTTCCAAAATAAATGAAAAACAGTTTCAGTATGAAATTAACAAAATGAACATTTTACATCAATATTAGAATTAAACTTCAAAAATTGTTTTATAGGTTAAATTTTGTTGATCAATTTAAAAGACACTTCTTTGACCTTGTTGGTGAGAAAAAAGAAGCAAGCAAAACTCGTATTCACAAAACACTACGCAATCTTTGTCATGTGACTTTTTATCATGTGACCGGTAGAGGCTCTGAAGCGTTCCACAGGAATACATCTGTTTATCGAGTCCATTATTTTCTGCCTTTTTAATCATCCAGTACTTTCTGGTTTAAAAAACGACAGAAATGCGAGTTGATGAAAATCTCCGACTGGACGAGCAGTTGCTGCTGTTTATGGAGCAGCTCGAGGCTCTGGAGGAGAAACGACAAAGACTTAATTCCCTTATAGAAGAGGTAAACTTGCAGTTAACGTTACATTTGACTTTGATTGTGTGTCACGAATTATAAAGATCTTTATTTTTAAAAATGTCCTTAATTCTGTTGCACAGGGATGGTTTTCAATCGCCAAAGCACGTTATTCAATGGGGAATAAGCAGGTCTCTGCTCTGCAGTATGCTAGTGAGATGCAGCCACTTGTTCATGTTGAAACCAGGTCTGTTTTTCTCAACATGCGATTATCGTTAACTTTTCCCTCGTGCTTTAGTTTTAATCATTGTACTAGCTGACTAATTCTACTTGATTCAAAGTTTGTTGGAAGGAGGAACAGCAGAGTTCAAGTGTGAGAGAAGCGAGAATAAAGCAGAAGAACAGAAAACTAAAACAATAGAAGACATTGGAGCAAAAGAGACAGGTAAGTCAGACTTGCTGGCATATAAGGCTTTTGATTTATCAAGACTTTTGTAATATATAAATTGTTGCCAATTGTTTAGTATTTACAGGGTATCAGCAGGGTCTTAAAAAGTCCTAAATCTCAAAAGCTAAATTTTAGGCCTTAAAAAGTCTTTAATCTAGTTAAATGTTGTGTTGTAAAACCTCTTTTTTTTAAACAGGTTTTAATTTTTCTAAAAAATTTTCTTGCAGTTGCATTTGCTTAAAAGTTCTCCATTCTGCTAAGGATACTGACCTGACCTACATTTTTTTTATTATTAAATAATTATTATTGTAGTCTGAAGGTATTGACAGCAGTTTTGTTATATTCTTGGTAAGGGATATGGGGTTTGTGAATAGATATATTTGAAAATTTATATATATATAAAAAAAAAAAAAAAAAAAAAAAAAAATATATATATATATATATATATATATATATATATATATATATATATAAAAATTCAAAGTTATTATAATTGTTTTATTTAAATGTAATATTTTTTTAAAGGGAAGTGATAATGTTTTCTAACTGGGATATTTGAAAAAAAAGTCCTTAGCAATTAGTCCTGTATAAGTCTAAAACTTTATTCATAATGGTCTTAAAAATGCCATAAAAAGTCTTAAATTGAACTGGTTGAAACTGCAGAAACCCTGATTTACATCTAATCATTTTCACAGTGCCTAAAACAAACTTTTTGCCACACCTGCTTATGGCAACTGACTTGAGAAATGTTCCAGCCAATAAAATGTGTATTTTATGTGATTAAAAACAGGCAGAACAAATGATAGAAATTCATCTACTTGCTATTATTACTGGTGGTGTTGTTATTTATTTTATTGCTTTGCTTTCAAGTATAAAACCATTTTAATGTAGTCCACAAGTAAACATCTCAAATGCATTCTCAGTTTTTTATGACCTGCTCGCATCAAAAGCTTATAGTAAAAACTAAGCGCAGTGATTTGATAATAATGATAAGATATTAATAGTAATAAATCCATAAATTACCAGCCAGATGGCAAATAACTTTAATTTACTGGCAACCAGGACTGATTTTTACTCTCATTTAGCAGTTGATGAATGTTAATAATATTAGGCCTTGATGATAATACATGCATGGTCTTAAAACAATAATAAGGAATTATATGATTTATCATTTCTTGACAGGTCTTCGGAGACGAGTACATACCAAACAAAAGGAGGTTAAAGAAGGCGAACAAGAGACAGATGAAGTGAAAACAAAGACAGACTCACCCACGCCAGAACACAGGGATCCCTTGAAGTGGTTTGGGATCCTTGTACCGCAAAATCTGAAACAAGCTCAGTCTGCCTTTAAAGAGGGTAAGCTCTGTTGTGATGATCTTTTACATACGTCTCACAGTTCATCGATTAAAAGTATAAAAAAATAAAATGATTAGAATTAACAAATTTCTTTTAGCAGAGCATGAAGAACTCCAAAAATTCATAAGTCAATATTACTGATGTATATTTAATGTTACTGCACTACCAGACAGAAAATTATTTGGAGGAACAAAAGCAATAGATATGCTTGCAATATGAAAGTCACAATAAAATATCAAGCATAACATTCTTTTCATATATAAAATTAACCCCATATCAAACTGCTCAGTTTTCACTATGTATATGGTTTATTTGTAGTGCAGTCTTGATTTAGCATTTAGAATGGAAGTTCCACAAACATGGACGTACAATATATAATTTGAAACGCTGTAAAAAAAGACAAGGTGGATATATACTGTTTGCTTAAGCTGTTTAATTGTATGCTTCTATATTAGTGTTTCTCAACCTCGTTTTTAAAGGACCACCAGTTCTGCACGTTTCCCATGTCTTCTTAACCACACACATCTGATTCAGATCATCAGCTCATTAGTAGAGACTGAAAGAGCTGTAATTGGTGTGACAGACAAAGGAGACATATAAAATATGCAGTGTTGGTGGGCCTTCAGGAATGTGGTTGAGAAACACTGCTTTATATTGTACTGATTTGATGTGGTTTGCTGAACATTTGCATTGTGTATGTTTTATTTTAGGAGTTATTTAAGCATCATTTAATTAATTGATTTAGTATTACTACTCTGATCTTAAATGTTAACACTTTATGTACCTTTCCCCCCCCTCAGTCATCACTCTGTCTGTAGAAATTGCATCCTTGCAAAGCACAATACTTGCTACAAGGAAAGAGATGCAAGTCCAAATGAAGGAGAAACAAGAGAGGACAGAGAAGGCTCAGGTGGAAGTAAAAGAGGAATAACGGCAGACTCTTTCTTTTTCATCCATATTCATTATTTATTGATATGTTGGATGTTTGACATCACTGTTATTGCATAAACAATGCTATTTTCCCAATTAAAAAAAACCTGTTTCAAGCAGTAATACACACTTGAATTCATTAAATGTGCATATTTACTTTACATTGGATTTGTAGTCAATCATTTTTGATAACTTGCACTGCCAGGTTTTTCATTTTAAATATGAATGCTTTTGTTGTTATGTTATATATATAAATGTATGTGTGTGCGTAATTATCAGATTCTTCAGTAAGTAATATAAATTAATTAATTAAAACATTGTCCAACTATTTTCTGTGACTGAATCATGTTATTATTAAAATGCATGTTTTTTTTAATGTAAAATTTAAGTTAAGAGCTGTTAATGAAGGTAAATTGACTGATTTATCCTCATAAACTTACACAGCTGGAACAATTTAAAGTGCTCAGCATATATAATTACACCCCTCACAAATCTATCTTTTAAATGAATATTTTTAATAGGAAGCTATACCATGGTATATTTGTGCATATACATTAGATCAGTCAGTACTAAAGCCAAATCTGGAGCTTATCTAACAAAATAACTTGCGATAACCGTCTGAAAACTAGTACACCCAAATGTATATGTTATAGAAAAATATTAAATACAAGTTTAAAGAAGAGAAAAAAATCAAGAAAAGCAAAAAATGTGATTTTTTTTTTGCAATATTTTGCTTGAATTTTATTCTTATATCTTTCTATTTCTAAATATGTTTGGTGAATAAAATATTATTTTAATATATCTGTTTAATAAATCTGTTTTGTTTAAATGCACCAAAATACATTGCCTATATTTTCTGAGAAATGAATCAAAATGTTAATTTTCAAAATGGGATATACTCAGGTTTTCAGAGCACTGTATTTTTCAAAAATAGTAATTAATCATTTTATTTTATATGTAATTCCCCTGCTTTATAATAACAGATACCTTTTATTAATACCACAAGTTCCTGCTAAAACAGAAAAATAGGTATTCACGATTTAAACGTGCACGAGCATTAAGTGTCAAGCGCGTCCTCGCAGTCGTGTATGTGTTGTGTACATTATAGACATTGACAGCATTAAATCTATTGCTAACACATTGTTTCCACAAAGCGAGCAATAAAGCTGTTCTTTAATGTGGGTGCTTAAGTAAACCTTTATCACATAGTGGGTGGATGTCCAATAATATCGGCAAAACAGACAAATAGAGGCGGCATGATAATTAAATAAATAAATGCCCCATTCGCTGTCTACTTCCTGGTGTTCATCGCAAATGAGCTGCTAGCGGATAGCCATGTTTACAGCTGAAACGGAACCGGGCACAAACGTTTACGCGCTCACGTAAATCTGACGGACGTGCATTTTTTTGTTTTGATCAAGACGTGTAACAGAAGATATTTTCACAATGACAGGACAATGCAATCAGCATCAGATCAGGTGAACGCGCTATCTCTATCCTGTTATCTCTATGCCGAGTTTAGGCTATTAACCTAAATCCCAAAGCTAAGCAGATATTTGGGAAAACAAGAGGATATCAACGTTTATTTTAAGAGCTATTTTCACGGTGTCGTCGCTAATATCGGGGAAGATAAGAAGATCACTGATGGCGTCAAAATCTAGGGTCTCCATTCTGGATTACTTCAATATCGTCTGTGAGGGAGAAAATGGCAAAATTGAATCAAACTGCAAAGCTTGTGGCACAAGAATTCAGGCTAAACGGACAGTTACTTCTAACTTTGTTACACATTTAAAGGTAAGAGTTGTTTTATTTTGTAATAAACAGTGTTCTGTGTCTTAATAACAAGAACAAATTGGAGGTAAAAATCTAAACATGGTCACATTTCAAAATTTACACTTCTCTGGGATCCTGTAGTTATAAAGACATACATTTTTTTGATTAAACATTTAATTTCCTAGGAAAAAAAAGTAATAAAATGTAAAAAAAAAAAAAACTAAAAAAAATTATATTTGTTACATTTTTTAATAAAAGAAAATGTTATTTACTAATAACTTTAGTAATTACTGATTAAAAACAAGTTAGAGATGTTCATTAACCAGAAAAAGTGTGAACCCTTAAAATGCCATTGTTCTTTATGTGTATGCTTTAAATACTATATTATTACTACATATATCATATTCTGCATATATATATTTACCTGTATATAATCATGTCATATTCACAGCGTAAACATCAGGCCATGTATGATGAATTTGTGAGGAAGAAAGATGTGAAAAGAGAGGCTATGCAGACATGTACCGGTCCTCCAAGCGGTCGAATGATCCCTCAAACTGCTGCAGGGTTGAACAAGTTTGACTACAGCGACCCTCGGCAATCGCTAATCTCTGAAGCTATCGCTAAGATGATCATCCGGGACCTGCAGCCGCCGCAAATAGTGGAATATGAGGGTTTCCGTGAACTTCTCCAGCTCCTGGAGCCCCGATACATACCAGTACAATGTCATTATATACAACAGCAGCTCCTGCCAGCTTACGTCTCACAAGTGCAACTAGCTGCCAAGCAGGCTCTGAAAGGAGCAGAGTCCTGCAGTGTGACACTTGACCTCTGGAGAAGCAGCTCTGTGGGTAACAGCTCTGGTGCTGGGTATCTAGGAGTAACTTGCCACTTTATAAACGCCGACTGGCACATCAGATCCGCCCTTTTAGCCTGCTTACCCCTTCCAGACCACAGCAACACTCAGCAAATGCTCAGCGAGTTTGATGAGATCTCCGAATCCCATGGCATCACTGGAAAAGTGTTCAGAGTGGTCGCCGACTTGTTGCCTTGTGAAAGCAGATCTGATTTTCGTCTTCCTGGGTTCAGTCTAATTGGAAATGGTGAAGAAGATGAAGAAGGGGAGGAAGATGGTAGCAATGGAGATCCTGGAGAAGGAGAATCCAAAGAAGGCATTAGTAGCAACGAGTACCACAGGTCTTTAGATCAGTGTCTCGGTCGAAGTAGGATTGACTGCTTTGCTCGATTACTAGCTCAGTGCATAAAGGAGGGCGTTTGCGCTTCTCCTCATGTATCGCTTCCTCTAAACAAAGCAAGCCTCCTCTATAACTACATTATTGCTACAGTGGCTCCTGAAAAACTTGTGCAAGTGTTCGGCTCCTCAGCAAATTGGCAAAGACCTTCATCCACAGACAAGTGGAACGATCAGTTAAAGATACTGCGCCAAATGGTGGACTCAATGGATTTCCTTGAGGACATTGTGGATAGGAATGACCTAGTCTTGGGTAATTTAGAGAAAGAGCTTCTGAGGGAGCTGGTTGAAGTGCTGGAGCCTTTTGAGGAGGCCTCAGACATGGTGCAAGGAGACAAGCACGTGTCCATCAGCCTAGCGCTGCCCTGTGTGTTGGGACTGCGCAAGCATCTGGCAGAGGTTGTGACTCACCAGTGCTCTGGGATCGTGATGGGATTGTCTCAAGCTCTGGACCGCAGACTGGCAGGCATTCTTGAGGATCCTCTTTATGTAACAGCCACCACCTTGGACCCACAGTTCAAGCTGTCCTGGAGCAGTGACAGCGACTGGCACAAGCAGGTGCTGCTGGAAGAGGTTGAAAAGCATACTCGGACTTTGAGTCCAATAGAGCATTACTCTGAGACCCAGCCATCTCCTTCCAAACGCTGCAAGCTTTTCTCTTTCATTAAGCAGAGGCCGACTATGCAGGCCAAGACTGTGGAGCAGGAACTGTCCACGTATCTCCACGAAGAGCCGACGGATGAAGATCCATTACAGTACTGGAAACGCAAGTCCATCGATTTCCCTTTGCTCTCACAAGTGGCCAAGAAAGTTTTTACTGTGCCAGCAACAACCACGTCAGTGGACCAGATATTTAACACGGTTAGCAAGACTCTTAGGCCAGACCAATGCCGATTTCTGCCAAAAAACTTAGACACTCTGATTTACTTAAAGGCTAACTATAGGATACTCTGGTCTTAATTATATTTCCTTTGTTCTGATATCAAACCAAACACCTCAAATACAAAATAGGGATCGTGCCTGATATACAAACTGCAGAATTACTCCAAAGTAAACAAATACTTTAGTTAGCAAATGTTTCCTTTTTTTAAGTATTGTAGAAAAGGCTAAACTTAAAGGCCGTGACACACCAAGTCTACATGAAAGAGCTAACACAGACAAATTCAGCTGTGTTGTCATCCTGGATTGACTGCATCTCATCCCTCAACTTCCCTTGAGCACACTACAAGGACTACAGATGACTATAAACTAGCATGTGCATCGTGCACCTGTGTGTAAGCAACCGCCACTATCAGCTATATCTATTTTCCTCATTCAAAAGGGAAAAAGAACTGGGACTGCAGACGTGCAAACCATAATCTAAACAGGACTTGCTTTTCATTTTAATATCAATGAGGTTGATCACTTGTTGCTGTGAACATTTAGCATTGAAACACTCAGGTAATGATGATGCATAAGATATTTTATCTGTTCGGTCTTCAACTCACTTTTTATCACTTTTATTCTCATGCAAAATTATGTAAAAACAACTACTATTATAGGTAAACACTTACAATAATACACCATTTTTAATAATATCCCAGTAAAACATAATTTATTTCCCCCTCTATCGATCTACCTATTCTATTTAAATATTTAAAAAAGAAATGAAAGTTATTATCATATGACTTTGCTCAGTATTAGTAGTTCTGTTTCACCATTCACCTCCTAAAATGCAACAGATTCAGACAAGTACAGTACACACTGAATAGTTAAACATTTATATAATAACTCTCCTTCACTATCAGCATGTTGTAGAACCACAGACCTGTCCTTCAAGCCAAATGAACACCAGTAATGAAGAAAATACTGCTACATTTCCAACAAAACCTTAATAAACATTTGGTGTATAATAGTTAGCTTCTTAATCATTTAAGGCAAGAGTTGGGTAAATAGAGTTGCAATATAGCTGACAAGCTTTTTGTGCGTTTTCTTTGTGCACAAAACTCACCCGCTAGAAAGCCGCAGGCAGGTTCTGTAATTGAAAATAATTACATTTTAGGACTGTTGGGAATTGGAAAACGCTGATGGTAGACTGCATTCCCTCCTAGCTTGCAGGACTGAAAAGAGAGAAATGAAGCCTGTGGGATATCAAGAAGAGCTGCTGCGCATTAAAGACCTTTTGTGTGGAAAAGACATTTTCATTTCAGTAAAAAGTGTTGGTTAATAAACCTGAATTTGGCCTGTCATGACTGCGAATAATATGCCAAAACTCAAGCACTTTCATTTTCTGTGTAGCACAATCACTGATGTCAGTGTGTGTGTTTACACTTATAAGAACAGCGCACTGTTCTAGGTAGAGCATTTAAACAGTAGAGTTTGTGTATTCTGATCATGTGGAAGAAAATAGCAAAAAGGACATTAAATCAATTAACCCAATTTCAACCAGACTTATTTGTAAGGCAGAGCAGAAGTGCTGCAGTGCAGGTATAATGAACATTCATGTGTTTGTGTTAGACATAAATCTTGATTTCAGTTTGGCACTCCAGTAGGACTACAGTATCATTTTCTGGGTTGCAGTGTGCTTGCCGTTGTATTTTTTATTTGTGCAAAATGTGATTTATAACGACTATAGCGGCAAATTTAATAGGAAAAGCAAAGTCCATTTGACATTTCATTACATTTGTGAAGGAAATCAGTGGGTTTAATCGCATTTTAATTTCCTCATTGTCATGCTCTCTTTTTCGACAAACATCAAAAGAAATTGCAGTCTCTATGCCAACAAAGGATGCATGTCAGTGAATGTCATGAGTAGGTGTGTATTGGTCCGTTGAATTTTCTATGAAAATAACATTTAAAAATGACAAGATGTCTATTTAAACCAGAGATGCCCAAAGTTGGCCCAAAGTTGATTTGGCCCACCGTCCCATCTGAATGATGAGGATGTGGTTGGGGTGAAAGCCTCATGTATGCCTTAAGGCAGGGGTGCCCAAACTCGCTTCTGGAGGGCCGGTGTCCTGCAAAGTTTAGTTCCAACCCCAATCTGACACACCTGGGCTAGCTAATCAAGCTCTTAAGCTGCGGTCACACTAGAGTTTGAGCTTGCGAAATTCTGTCGTATGGCTTTGCGAAAAGGGGCGGGGTTAAACAAGATTATTAGACATTTAAAAAAGCGAGCGATTGCTCCAGTTTTAAATTTCTGTCCAGAGAGGTCATGTTTTGATCCTCGATTGGTCTCACGCAGCCAAGTGATGAAAATTGACGCATGACCCTGTGTTTCCGGTCTGACGCATTCGCATGCTCATGAATGGGTCTATGGGAGGGAAAGCCCAGTGTGACCGCAGCTTTACTAGGCTTTCTAGTAACAAATTTGCAGGTGTGTTGAGGCAAGTTGGAGCTAAATTCTGCAGGACACGGCCCTCCAGGATGGAGTTTGGACTCCCCTGCCTTAAGGAATTTATCGTCACTTTTGTTTCTTTGTTTTATTGGTGAGCTACAACAAAGGCAACTGAAATAAAATAATGAAATACTGTAAATGAATCAGACTTTTAAAATGTAAATACTGTCAGCAAACTGCACAAGACATCTGTGAGCAAATCAAAGTAAGCCTGACTGGTGTATTCAGCATTGAACTTGTGTTCTAAATAGGATTGTTTATGTTTTACTGTAATAAGTTAATTATAAAATGTTAAAAATGATACCGATTAGATAACATGATTTAAAGCAATGTTTTTTTTTTTTTTTTAGATATTTTTAAATATTACCAAAAAAAAATTCAATAGTATCTGGATGCAGCCTTTATGATGTAAGATGTGATTGCATCACTCAGCGATGCAATGTCAGACACAATGGCGTGAGTCACTGTGATGGGTAGGGTTAGCGGTAGGGTTAGGTGAGCGCATTTAAAAGCATTGTTTGCAGCTCAGACTGCACTGCACCAGGTCTACCTCCAGACCCCTCTCAAAAAATTAGGAAATTACCCATGACAAATTTAATATATACGGTTTGCTATATATTCGGCCCACACCTCTAAATCGAGTTAGCTTTTTGGCTTTTTATAAGAAAAAGTTTGGGCACCCCTGATTAAAACAGAGCTAGACCTTGTCTTCATTATGTAATCCTAGTTAATCTACACTTTCATAAAAAAGAAAGCTCCAAAAGGAGGTTTTCACAGTGATGCCATATACATAATGTTCTGCAAAGAACCCTTCAGTGAATAGTTCTTAAACTCTGGTTTGATTGCTTTGTTAGTGAGATTAATTCTATTAAAGGCATCAAAATAAAAAAAAAATAAATGGCATCATTTACTTTACCCCATGTGGTTTTAAACCTTTATGTGATTCTTTTGTTGAACACAAAAGAAGATATTTAAATTGCAGGCTGCTGTGACCCATCGACTTTCATAGCAGGGGGAAATACTAGTGAAGTCATTGTATCCCAGCATCCAGCTTTTTAAAAAAATATCTACTTTTGTGCAATGAAGGGAGAGTAAATGATGAAATCTTCAGTTTTGGGTGAACTATTAGTTTTAATTTGGGTGAACAAGGTATTAATGCTGCTATCTGAACCCTGATGCACACCAAGCAACCAGATGGCTTTTGGTCCACCTCCAAGTGAACTCTGGTGCGGTTAGACTGAAATGTGAATGTGCTGTAACATAAAACAAAAACAGGTCATAATGTTAGAAGGATGCAACCATAAAAAATAACAGAATGCTCAAACATACCTTGATTTTCTTTTCAAAATAAAAGCTCAGAAAAATTAGTAAAGTAAAAAGTTTTTTTAAGTCATATTGTAACCTTGATAGAATATAAAATTGTAGATTTAATTACTACTATTAAATCTCAAACCATAGTTTTCACACTGTACTGTTTAAGTACACTAAAGTTCATTAACATCTATGGACTAATTATATTAATTAGTAATACTCATAGTCCTAGTGTTGGCACTTGACTAACTGGATTGCACTATAGCTATCATTAACAGAAACCTGGCTAAAACCAGATGATTATATGACATGAGTCTACACCCAAAGGTAATTGTTATAAACATAAGCCTTTGCAACAATTTATAGTAATATACCCAGCATTACTCAGCAGCCTGGTTTCGGTAACTATTCCTTCAAATTAATTGTGTCTTATTATTGCTATATATTATAATCAATAAACCCTTATTGATATTAAATTGTCTACTGTATACAGACCTCCAGGGCACAACACAAATTTGAAAGGATTTGATGTTTTCCATCTGAATTGTTGAAAAAACAGCACATCGCCACCTTATAGAGACTTTATCTGTTCCCTGAACCAGTAAATATAAAACCAATTCATGAGTTTAACCAAACCTATTTACAGGAAATTATTTACTTGATGTTCATCAAATTAAAAATAGGCACGTTGCAAAACAAAGATGACCACTTTACTTAAAAAAGTGAGTAAACCTGTTGATTTTAAAACAATTTTGACTACCTTAAAATGTGAGTAGACCCACTGCCTTAAAATTAAGTAAATGAACTGTGCATAGTTTTAAAATTAATTTGTCAATTTAACAGTTCCAAGTTACAATGGGTATATGCAACTAAAATATAAAAAGAGTAAAGTAGCTATTTGCTTTTTACAGTGTACAGTCTAAATCAGGGGTGTCCTGCATAGCTCAGCTAAAACTTCCTTCAACTCACCTGCCTGGAGCTTTCTAGTATACCTAAAAAGAGCTTGATTAATTTGATAGGTTCAGATGTGTTTATTGGGGCTGGAACTAAAATATACAGGACACCAACCCTCCAGGACAGAGTTTGGGCAGCCCTGGTCTAAATAATTAAGTCATTTTCCTTTGGCTTAGTACATTATTTATTAGGGGTCACCACAGCGGAATGAACTGCCAACTATTCCGGCATATGTTTTGCACAGCTAATTCCCTTCCAGCTGCAACCCAGTACTGGCAAGCACCCATACACTCTCACTTTCACACACAAAATCATACACTATGTCCAATTTCATTGGTCCAAATCACTTATACTGCATATCTTTGGACTGTGGGGGGAACTGGACTACCAGGAGGAAACCCATGCAAACACAGGAAGAACATGCAAACTCCAAACAAAAATGCTAACTGGCCCAGCTTGGATTAGAACCAGCAACCTTCTTGCTGTGAGGTGACAGTACTAACCACTGAGTTACATTGCTGCCCAGTCCAATAAATACCAGTCTTATTAAAAATCAGATCACACCGATCTAAAGCACTTCTTTTTTATTGACCAAATATTAGATGTACTTTGTTCAACAGAAACCTGGCTAAAACCAGATCTGACCTTACTGTTATAAACATGAGCTTCTTTCCTAAGGCAGATGAGCATGTGTTGCTACAATTTACAATAACGTTTTCAATATCAGCCAGCAGTCAAGTTTTAATTGAACTGAATTTAATTTAAATTTGAAGTAATGGGGCCTCATGTATCATTATATAGTCAATAAATCTAAATTATACATTTATATAGACTACTGTAAACAGGCCTCCAGGGTACAATGAAGATGATTTATTATTTATTAAAAATTTTACCAATTTTATATCGGAATTAGTATTGGATAGAAAAAAGCTGTTGTTGACTTTAATATCCACATAGATAATGAAAAAGATGCAATAAATCTAAGCCTTTTTAGCCCACAACAGAATGTCTACTTTAGATTTTATATTGCTGCATGGAATGGATTTGTCCAAGTACCACAGCAAAGATGGCCTATAAAAAGCTTAAAGCTATAACACAAACTTTTGAGTCTGTCTACAGTTGCTAATTTAACCAGAAATAAAGCATCAGGAGAAGCAGATGTATTTCAACAACACAGCTGCAATAACCTTGAATTTCTTTTCCTGATAATATCAATCATTGAATATGGAGTTCCGCATAGTTTAGTACTCGGACCAATGGTTTTTAAGTTATACATGTACAGCTAGAGAGCTCATTAAAAACACTGATTGTTTTCAAAGACACATAATCCTGTTTAAAAGTATGGTGAAACTGTGAATAACAAAATATGGTTTAGTTATGGAGGGAGATCTGCACATTTTTTAGCCCAACGTTTAGTTTAAGTAAATGTGTGTAAAAATACTTTTGTTCATTTTTTATATTAATTTCAGTTAATAGAACTGCTTGTATATTTTATTTATAATAGTTTGTAAAGTCATATTTTCTGTCTTTTAGTTAGTAGATATATTATATGGAATTTGCTTAGTTTACTAAACAAGTAGACCAAGTTGGATTTGCATTGTAAACTTTAAATAAAAGATAAAAAGGTATTATTTTTTATTTCATGTTTTAAGATTTTAGTTTCTATACTTAGTTTCTATATGTTTTAAGACTTTAGTTTCTATACTTTAGATGTTTTTACAATGAATTCTGTGCAAAATTCTCCATAGATTCTGCCTGGCCCTGCACAAAACAAACAATGACTAAAAATTTGTGAAGCGGGGACAACAAGACTCAAGTACAGAAATTTTACCTTGAAAACCACATCTGTGATTGCGATCTTCAGAAAAGAGACTCTTTTCTTCCACTAAAGTGTGCTAATGGGCAGTGGTGGAAAGAGCACTGAAAAATTATACTCATGTAAAAGTACCATAACTTGCCTAAAAAAGTAGTGCAAGTAGAGTAAAAGTATCTGTTGTGAATATTTCTCAAAGTTAGGAGTAAAATGTAGACATTTTAAAAGAACTCAAGAGTAGTGAGTATTACGCTGTAAAAAGCTGATGCATTTACATGTAATTCTTGGATGTGTGTAAATGTAACATTCTGTAATGCATTTACTGTAGTTATTGCCCAGCAGGCAAACAATGTCTTAAGATGTTAATATTAAGCTAGATTTAGATGTCAGGTGACATTCACAAATTCATTGTCTAGCCAGGGTCTAAGGGCAATGTGATTTTGATGTCCAGTAATGATGTTGATATTTAGTTCATTTTAGCTTGTGTTAGAACGTCAAGCCAACATTTTAAACCAACACAATATTAACATCAAATACTGATATTTATTCGTCAGGTATAACAACCAAATCCATAGACATCATAATGAAAACTTCCACACAATGTCAAGCTGTAACATCATTAGACGTTGTTGTTAAAATTTGGTTGATTTTAGGTTGGACGCTGGATATTGACGTCAGCCTGACGTTGGGTTCTGACGTCAACTCAATTTTCATTTTCAAACAAAGTGCAATGTCTCCATGACATTGGGGTACAGCATCAATCTGATGTTATGTTGATGGGTGTTTAGGGCATTTCGGTCATCATACAGTAAACATCCACTACAAAACTAGCAAAAGTTCTAGCGATTTGAGTCTAAGAAAAGCACATTACAAATAAAATGTATTATTATTATTATCTGTCATTTTCTCATCAGTAACATGCATTTAAACAGCCTCTGTCAATGTGTTCAAAGATTTCAGACATCTTCTTGGACACTTTTATTGCTTCCAAACAGTTTGCTGCAATTATAAATCGCCATGTCTTGAGGTAGTTCATTATGATGCGATTTACCTTCTATGTGTGATTTGATTGGACAGGAATCACAATCAAGTAGTGACTGCAGGATAAAGGAAAGTATTTACAGCACTACAAATGTACTTATTCATAAAACTACTTAGTAAAGTACAATTCCTGAGAAAAACTACCCAATTACAGTAGTTTGACTATTTGTAATTTGTGACTTTACACCACTGCTAATGGGTCATTGAGTGTAAAATTGTATTTTTTTCTCGGACTGACTAGTGTAAAACTGACCTTTAAACAACCTTGTTATAAGGGCCTAAACTGAACCATGGCATTCACTATGTGAAGAGACTGAGTCATTCTGAACTCTCTGCCAAACTACAGTTATTAATAAACTGCCTGTTGTTGGTTTGTGAACAGCAATAATATCCTGATCAAAAGGCCGGAGAGATGCCTAGATGAGTGTGTGGGTAAATCAATACTCGTTACGCATTTGATATTGAGTAGGAAGAAAATGGCAAGGCGATGCACTCATTGAACAAAGTGTGGGGGCCGCATTAAAACAATAAAGTAAAAACATCCCCCCTCCTCATTATACTTTTTTTTAGCATGGAAACAAGAGAGCAGCTGCCCTTCAGTCTCCCTCCCTCATGTGTTCTCTGACCAGCTCCTGTTTGTGACAGTGAGTTATCTTTATCTTCTTCTTTAACTCTCAGACTTAGGAACATATTCAGCCTGTCATCTCTCTGACTCACATACTAAATCAACAACAGCCCTCAGTCATTCCCTTCTAGGAGACTCATTTTACAGCACGGCTAAATCATGGCAGACAAAAAGGACAGCAAGACTCCTAGTAAAGGTGGTTTTATAAAAAAGAAAGAGAAGAAAGTGGAGAAAGTAGAGAGTAAACCTGAAAAGGAGAAAGAAAAGAGCAAAAATAAAGATGAAAAGACGACAAAGAAACCAGAGAAGACCCCAGAAAATCAACCAAAAAATGAAGAGATGCCTCAAGGGAATGGGGAGATACCAGAAGAAGCCAAAGGCCCAGTCAAAAATGAGGAGTTTGAGCTAGAGCCGATGGAGCTGCCGCCATTTGAGATCATTGTAGGGTACGTCAAACATCTGTCACTTAATAGTAATACACTGTTACTGCTATAACAATATTTTAATTAATATTTCTATAAAATATTTGCTTTTTGGTGATTTAAGGAGATTTTTTTTTATTTAAAAATTTATTTTCTTTCAAGTTTGATATTATCAATCATTCAATATGGAGTACCACACAGCTCAGTACTTGGACCATTGAAGTTCTACATGCTACACCAAAGAGATATCATTAGAATACAAGATAGGCATAGAAGAGAAAAATATGCATAGAATAGGCCTATTTTTGTACATAGTTTGAATAGTGCACTGAACTCTATAGAAGTTGCATACAGTCATCTAAAAAATTACATAAATGTGACTTTTTGTTGACTGAATTTAGATTTTTTTTAATTGTGTAAAATCTCACATTTCTTTTAAATTGATATCAGAAAACATCAAGTTTATTGGCTTTCTAGAATTGTGAATTTTACAATTCTAAGTATCTTCTTAGAATTGAGAGTTCATATTGGACTTGTCTTTTTTCTAAATTAAGTTGAACCAAAATTCTGAGTTTTCATTTATTAGCATTAAATTCTGACTAAATTCTGACTAAAACAGTTGGTTTTCACTTTTATGCTGACAAAAAGATGAAGGCCACATAATTCAATTAAAAAATATCTAGTAAACCTGTAAATACAAAATACTGAAAACTGTTAACTGACATCATGGTACAGAGTGATGAGATTTTCAGTAGATTTTATGCAAACTACACAACTGAAATGAAAGTTTTCCTGAGTTTTCACTGTGATGCCATAGCAGAATCCGTTTTAGGGGGTTTTCACATCTGTGGTTCGGTTCATTTGGTCCAGACCAAGAGCAACAAATGATTAATTGTAGCATTTACTGCTGTTTTTGCGTCCTTTTCACACCACACTGATTGCTTTGGTACGAACCAGTTGAAAAAAACTAAATGCAATCATGTGACAAAATCCATATCACTCATTGGCCAGATGTTATTAAACGTATTTCCTTAACTGCTTTTCGCTTGGTCAGAATTAATGTGTGGGAAAATGTCAATGGACCTCCCACAAGTAAACAAACCAGCAGACACAAAATACAGCTTTTTACTATGAAGGGACGACTGATTGGATCCCTGGTCATGGTATACTATATGGTTTGTATACATCACTTTAGACAACCTATACTTTTTGAGAATGAATCACAGCTGCGGCTGTAAAACAATGTTTAAATGCATTGCAAATGAAAGCGCATCGCAAGTCACTTAATTAATTAAAGTGATTATTTAATAATTAAATCAATTAAAATTAATTTTGCTAAACTGCTACATGGTCATCTTCCAGAAATATTACCAAAGATCCATCAGGTAATGTTTTTCCCTCTCTCTCTCTGTTTAAAATTGGTTAGTAAAGCTCTGTCAATAAATATTTTTCCTTCACACCCCATAATGCACAGAACATCGGACTACGACAGCTAGATTAGTCCAAAAAGGTGCAGTACTTTTTGCAGTTGGGTCTGTTCTTGTTCGGATCATGTTCTCACCACAAACGAACTGCTCCAGGGTTCGTTTGAAAGCATATCGAGACCACCTCTTCAAGGAGGTCTTGGTACGTTTTTTTGGTCTGCTTTTAGTTTGCACTCGAGTGCGATTACTACATTCACACCTGCCCACGCGAACCGCACCAAGAGGGAAAACAAACTCTTATGTGATTTAACCAAACTAAATAAGGCACAAAGCAGCAAATAATAAAAGAGACATTTTTTCCTATCAAAAAAGTAGGAGTTAGAGTTGGAGCTGATAGAGTTACCACCATTTGAGAACATCAATGAAAACATAAAAAAATGTTTTATAGCTGTAAAGTTACATCTTCACACCATATACCTTGAGTCCCATCCAGACCTGCACAAACCCAGACCTCACGTGTTTGAACTATTGAATCCACAACCATCATTCAGTTTCTAGTGGGAAAATCAGAACTCTGAAGAATTAAAGCTTTCAAGACTAGAATAATGTTTGAAATTCAATGTTCAGCTAGCACATGGGTGTGGTGTTCAGATCTCCACAGACTTTTAACTATCTATTGTAACTGAAGGACAAAAGTTCGGCTTTGGTCTTATCATCAGACAAAAAGTTTTTCTACCAAACAAAGTAATACTCCACCTGAGATTTTATAAAATCTTGTTACAAACAAAAGTGCTTCATACAAGCCCATTGACTCTACTCTGAGTCATAGTAAGTCTATTTGTGTCCACTCAAAAAAAAAAAAAAAAGAAAAAAGTGTGAATCCATTTTTTTAAGCTAGAATCCACCACACTGCCTTTGCACAGATTTGCAGTCTGGGTAAGTTGAATAATGTTGCTAAAAGCCAAAAGCAGTCTGCAGATTTTTATCTTGTAGAAGTTATTGATGGATTTCAAACAAAGAAGGAGTGTATAATAAAATTCAATCTTTTTGAATCTTCAGACATTGTTTCCATCAAGTCAGATGATATTTTGAGATCATGAATCGCATAGCAACAACATAATTATTAATTATGTTATACAAATTATAAATACTTCTGGATGTGTTTATTTTTATAGTTTGTGATTCTCAGTAGTTAAGTGTATAATTGACATTTTTTCTCTTTAGCCATTCATTTTGTAGAAAGACTTTATGGTAGTCTTAAAAAAATGCACAAATTTGTGATTTGTTCAGATTTAATTTGTTCTGTCATCTAGCAAACAGTGCTTATTTGTAGTTCACAATTTGCACAATGAGTCTGTGAATAACTGACAGTGTCGCTCATGTTACTCATTGTATTAGAGGTAATAGTTGCCATTAACGTTTAGAGTGACATGATTAAGATGACTTAATATAAACTCTATTAACTTATTTAACAACTTGCCTTCATAACTGCAAACTAAGCACTATGCAGTCATAGAAAAGAAGAGAGACACTTTTTGACAAATTCAAAGCTTTATTTTAAAGCTTTATTATGTTGTCTTTGGTGACCCTCACCAACCCAGTTTTTGTCACCCTCACCATCCCTCAATATCTTTGGTGACTCTCACCAACCCTCAGTATCTTTGGTGACACTCACAGACCCTCAATATCTCTGGTAACCCTTACCAACCCTCTGTATCTCTGGTGACCCTCTTTGATGGCCCTCACCAACCCTTTGTATCTCTGGTGACCCTCACCAACCCTCTGTATCTTTGGTGACCCTCAACAACCCTAATATCTCTGGTGACCCTCACCAACCCTCAGTTTTTCCTGGTGACTCTCGGTGGCTGCAGTGACCTGTGTTGGCCATCACCTGCCCCAGAAAGTTCTTTACTCTCTTGCAATTTGGACCTGCCAGTGCATGAGCCGAGCTTTCCCCAAAAATGTGAGAATCTTTTTCTCAGATGCCAAAGTCGTCCAACTTTTGGAGGCTTTGATCTTTAAAAAAAGCCAGACAAATCATAAGCATAAATATGCAAGCCTAGCACTCCACATTACTTTAATTATTATAAATGTGTGTGTAAATTTGTAATCTGACCAGCATCTGCTGTGTGTATTTGTGTTTTGTACCTTGCCTCTGTGATAAGCTGCTGCTGGACACACTCTTCAGTAGTGAAGTCTTCTCCATCATTAAACACACTGACAGCCTCCTCAAACACATCAAACACAAGTCTCTCACACATAAACCAAACCAACATAATAATCTATCATCATTTTCAAAAAACATTCTCACTGAATTCCTACAACCCATAGCAGAGCGGTTATCCTCTGAAATATAAGTATAAACTCACTGTTGTGTTGCTGTCAGATGCATGAGAGTACATATTGGGAAGTAGATGTTTGAGATTGTCTAGCATGTACTCTGTGAAGCTGATGCACATCTCCTGCTCCTCAAGCATTGTGGGGCCTTAAGGAACACTTCAAACACAGATAACAAAACAAGTGACATTAATGCATTTTTCATACATCCATCTTTCATTTACGTCAGACAGCTCCAGACTGTTTTCTATCTTCTCAGATCCCACAAATTGGTGCATTTAAAACACTTCAGCCTGAAGATATGTTTAATGTGCTTTGAAGTACAGAAAACATCAGCAGACATACAGATATACAAACACTTACTGAAAGATGATTGGTCCAAAGACTATAGACAGGTTGGTGGTGGTCATGCAGTTGACTCCACTATTAGCAACCACACGGGAAAGGAAGAATGCTAAATAGCAGAGGATGTTAAAATGGTCCTCTGGAAGGCTGTCCAGGATTTTTTTCACCGCCTGGTGAGGTTTGCTCAGTTTAAAGACTGTAAGATAAAATATTTCAAGAATTTGATAAATCCATTTTGAAATGAAACTAGTCCACAAAATGTTCTCAACAGCATCTGAACTTCACTTACTCCTGAACACCTCCAGCAGCTCAATCATGAGTGGCCCTGAAATGAAACCACCGGGAGGCACTCAGAGGAAATGTTTTAAGACGGAGGCTGAGGAATGAACACCCTCAATCTTCAGCTCTGGAAAGCCACCCTTGATCAAAACATCTCCTCAGCTCATACTGGCACAACAGTATCCCATCAACCCTAAACAGGCCGCTTGTATCGAGGCCTAAACACAAACACATGTTTTACAAATACAATCTCAGCATAAGTGACACACTTGAAAACACTCAGCGCTCACCATGCTTCTCCAGGAAGCCCAATAAATGTGTGAGGAATAAAGGAAGCCCTGCCTCATCTGACTGTTGTTCCTAAGATAGGACAAAGGCACACCCAACACTTTACTCAGTGTTTCCTCCTGCAGAAAGAGAGTTAAGAGTAATAAATGATCAAGTGAGCAGACACACAGCTGCCTAATAAGTGTGTTATTAGTAACTGAGTGTATGGGGAAACATAAATTGTATTATTTTTTACTATTAATTCTATTAATTCTTTACTATTAATTCTATTAATTCTACTTAATATTGAAAACAAGTTGATAAGTTTATTATATATTAATACAAGGTCACTAATGTCAACAGTAGCATTTATAAATTGGTAGGCCTAATCTATGTATAAATCGCATACATACACACTGATAAAACTCCCATTATGGGGTTTTGCCGAGTTGGCAAACAAATCCGAGGGGTGTCCAAAGCCGTGAGTCAAATCCAGAAAAGAGTCAAAAACAGAGAATCAATAGCCGCAATCAATAGTAAAATCGCAAACCGCACAAACACCACTAACCAACAAACGCCTGAACACCCAACAAAGAATTCGCGTATAAACCTGCTGAAACTCACGTCGTTCTATTTAAAACTGTGGCCTATTTGTATATTTATAAAAACTGCAAAAACATGGAGGCCTGTCTTTAAGCAAATTTCACAATAATCAAAGTCAATAAAAGGAGTTAAAGTCATATAACTTAATTTACAGTCAGCCCATTAGTATGCCTACATTCCACAAATAACTGAAAGTAGCCAAAATGTCAACAAAAAGATTTTATTGGCCCTATAGATCAAGTTCATTCACAAATATATTTTTTCATTTATTTTAAACTGCAATTTTTAAATGGTCCTCGCTTTTTATGGCATACTCAGACGCAAGACTGTTAACTTATAAACGGCCATTTATTTGTACATAACAGTTCACCCAAGTACAGAATGATTGATGCCTACACTTTTTATGGAAATAGGTAAAATGAAATCCAGGCAGATGTTAGCAGTGCAGACTGGGACAGGCAGAGACCAAGTCCTGCGCGGGACGGTTTTTCCGCAGCAATATTGAAATATTTGGATTTGGGCGAATACAAATGTGACTGTTGACCAGTCATATGGCGATGTCTGACATAATATCCGCGCACTGCCCTAACTGGACAAAACGTTTCCATTACAGAGGCACCCCTGTGCGGCGATTGTGGATCAACACACGAGATCCAGCATCGCCATCATTTACCTTTCAATGTTTGTCCTGGTTTTATTGGGTTATGCGAGTGTAGATTTCAGTTAAGAGATCTTGAGCACTGGACCCACCGACAGCCAAGTATTCAGCAAAAATGTGTTTCAAATTAGGGTTTGTTAAGCAAAATAGTGAATGCATTAAAACATTATTTATTGTTAATTTATCATTATATATACACAAAATATGACTAGACATTTTACATATATTAACAATGTTAGCCTATTTATTGTGGTCATAACTGTTCAAATTTCTTTTGAACACGAAGGGATATATAGTGAAGAATGTTGGGGGAAAAAACACGTGATTTATCAAACATGATTTTTGTGACTTGTGTGATTTACAATTAAATTTCCAGCTGGAAGGAAGATCAGTAAACAATGGATGGGTGACATCAGAAAAGCCTAGCTGGCTTTTCTTCAGAATCTCATGTGATGGTCCTTTAAATCAGCCTCCACTATTTTGCAGCAAATTTTAATTTGAAGGGATAGATAACCCAAAATTAAATACCTTCTTCAGAATAGCTTCTTTAAAACCACTTGAATGTGGACAAACGTTGATAATGTTTATTTTCTAACTATCCCAACTACCAATGATTAAAACAAACTCTTTAACTGTGAACACAATCAAAACACAATCCAGTGTAAATACTTTGGTTATACATTTTATTGGAATAAGTGTATGAATTTATGCAAATCCAGCTGTATACCAAACATTTGACTGAATATGAATGCAACCAATGGCAGTCCAAATGCACCAAAAACACAATGTGATTATCTTGTTTTTATATGTTGTTTTTATATGTAATATTCCTTTTTTCCCCACAGAGACCGAATAAACCCAACCTTCTTCAAGTTCCAATTTAAAAATGTGGAGTACTCGTCCGGGCGCAACAAGACCTTCCTGTGCTACCAGGTCGACATACAAGGTGGAGCAGCAGAGACGGATGGCGTTCGTGGTTACCTGGAGGATGAGCATTCAGGCTCACATGCCGAAGAGGCCTTCTTTCAACAGGTGCTGGCCTATTATGACAAGTCCCTCCGCTATACAGTGACTTGGTACACATCGTCCAGCCCTTGTGTGGCCTGCGCTGCTAAGCTTGTGGAGATCTTGAAAGCACGCAAGGCGCTGCGCCTTAATATCCACTGCTCCCGTCTCTTTGAATGGGAGGAACCGGAGATACAGGCCGGACTTCAGGCGCTAGTTAGGGCAGGGTGTAAACTACGCATGATGAGGCCTGTGGATTTCGTGTATGTCTGGTCTACTTTCGTTGAGAACGAAGAAGATAATTTTACACCCTGGGAAGACTGTCAAGATAACTTTGAGTATTATGATGAGAGATTGCAGGATATTTTAAAGTAGGGTAGACTCAAAAATTGCTGTTTGTTCAAACTACTTAGTTAAAATGAGCTAAATCAACACAATTCTGGATTTTTTACTTAATTCTTTTAGGTTTAATCTACTTAAATTTGTAAAAACTACCATGTTAATTTAAGTCCTTCATGTTGTCTCAACACAAATCGATTGTGTGGAACCCCTGCATTCTTAACAGTATAAACAGCTGGCCTCTGATTAAGATTAATACAGCCCGGGCACCGCCTCGGTACTTCAGAGCAAATTATTACAATCATCCAGCAATTTTAGCAGCATTTGTCAGCTCTACACGTCTTGTATGACATTGAATTTTAAAATAATAAATTTAAACCACACCCATATAGTATTTACATCTAAAGTATATGGTCTATCCTATTGATATTTTGCTGATTAACATAAAAACATTAGCCAAACATGTAATAATAAAAAAAAAACATTAAATGTATTATTTGTCATATAATTCACAGTGCATCTAATTAAACTATAGTTTTCATTGCTTCAAGCATCATGTTTAAATGTATTTTAGAAATGATTTTTAAAAAATATCCTTGTATGCAAATCCTTGTATGTTAATAAAATAAACTCGAGACGGTTTCCTGTCACAAGCAAGAAGCAGACAGCGCTATGATATGTATGATGTTAGCGGTGTCTCATTTTGAAGGCTACACCCTCAGGAGGTCACATTTGTTTCCAAAGACAGAAATGACAGTAATTATGCCTCATGAGGAATAACAGTCAATGTTATAATGGGTGCTTTCTTCTCTGAAATAAGAGAGCCTGGCTGACGCATGCAGTTGACTAATGCGACCTTCAGAGGGTGCAGCCTTCAAAACGAGACACATGCTGAGTTCTGAAGCACATACTCAAATAGCACTCTTACTTTTTCTGCTATAAAAAGATATTCAGCTAATTTCAAATTCAGGTAAAGCTACAGAAACAGGTTTGAGGACCACTACATAATCATCTGTGAATGAGAATAACAAAAGAATGATGAAATTATTTTTTTATAGCTCATTTAGTGCACTTCTATTTTTCATACACTTACTGATTACTGAAAGCGTCACTTATCAAATAATCTCTGAGATTGAACTATACCTATGCAACATCGCCCTCTAGTGGTGACAAAACATCAGTTGCAGAATATTAAGAGTATATAACAGGAACAGTCTGTATGATTTCAAACATTTTAAGAGCTTTCATTTCCCCAGAAGATAATCGAACACCCTACATACAATAAGTATTAAGTTGTGAAATTCCATGGGAACAAAAAGCAACCCCCTGACCATTCTGTAAGAACAGAAAAGAAATACCCTGAGTTTTAGACCTACTGGGGTCTAGATTGTGTACACTGTGATGGAGATTTTAGTGTCCTGGAAGACTTCTGTGATGATGGAAGACACATTTTCCCAATGCATTTTATCCAGACCACAGCCAATACTAGAAGGTGAAAAAGGATAACAGTTATTTTAGCAGAGCTTTTCTAAAAGTACTTTCCCCAACATACATTTGTTTTGCCATCTATGAAGGGCAATAAAATATATTTAAAAGTTAATCTATTTTTCTTACAAAATCTATTTGATAACTGACAAACGCAAAACTATTTTTCATTGTTTAAAGCCCTAAATGTAGAATCTAATTTAAAATAAGTAGCCCTAAAAACAGATCTAATTTAAAACAAACATTGTCATTTAAATGAAAAATGAACATATTGTATTTGTCAGATTACCGAGGCATGGATACTCGGTTGACGCCATTAGCTAAGCAGTGTTCCTTCATAGACATGAGGCTCTTTCGGAGACTCTCACTTGTGGGCTTTTGGTAATAGTACTTCTTTGTGACCTAGTGCAGGAAGAAACAAAAGTGACAAAGGTAAGTTCTGGAACAATTCTGTTAGTTAAAACATGATTTTCAGTGGCATTTTGGCCTTTATAAAAGACAAATATATTTAAATTCATCTTATTAATTGTATCTCGGTTTTCTAATTTAAAAATGTAAAAATTAAAAGAAAAATTAAACAGTGACTAAGAAACTGTTATCAATAAAACAATGATTTAAACTATATAAACAATACATTTAAAAAAAGAGCTCATTACAGGAAAAGGCTTTCATGCTAAGCAAAACCTCTATTATATGATATAATTTCTATTAAAAGTTATTATTATTATTATTGCTTTTAATATTACAATAATTAGAGAGAATGTAAATTGCAGTAAATAATAACGCAATGATGTGAAACAATGGAATACATTAAAACATTTTTTTATCAAATAATACACATCTTTGTCTAGAATGTGCATATTATCTATCTATCTATCTATCTATCTATCTATCTATCTATCTATCTATCTATCTATCTATCTATCTATCTATCTATCTATCTATCTATCTATCTATCTATCTATCTATCTATCTACATTACAATACTTGACAAAAATATGTCCAAGTTTTAAGAACAATAAATAATAACTTGACTTCTAGTTGATCATTTGTTATCAGATGTGGCTTATATGAAAGCCAAAGGCCTCTAGATTACACTTACAGTATTTTACCAAAATAAAATATGATCATGCCTTTAGTTTTAATCATTAAATTAGGACAGTAATGTCTGACTTTGCTGAGACAAAAGTCTTGTCATGTGGTTTGTAATGTAATGGGCAGCACAAATGTCTTGATACCTCAGGCTGTTGATGTTCCCATCCACTCTGCAGATGTCTCGCACGCCCCCCTACTTAATGTAACCCCAAACCATGATTCCCCTTCACAAAACTTGACTGTTTCTCTAAGAATCTTGGGTTAATGCGGGATCCAGTAGGTCTTCCGCAGTATTTGTGATGATTAAGATGCAGTTCAACAGATAATTCATTGTAAAAAATCTACCTTCTTCCACTTTTCCAAATGATCAACTAGAAGTTCTTATTTGTTGCTTTTACAACTGGGAGCAATGACAAGACTTCTGTCAGGTTGTGTATGTTATGCTAATGTGTTATAATCAAAAGAGCTTCAAAATTAAAGATAAATAACAAAATGCATATGAAACATTTTTTGTCTAATAGAATGCATATAAAACTTTGGCCTTTTCAGAGGTGACTAATCTAAATGCCTCTGATTGGTTACTGTATTTATATGCTTTGTCCAACAAATAGAACATCCTTAATATTTTTAATCTAATTGTGGATTTGTAAGGCATTTTTGTTCATTTTGATTGAACATTTGTCACTTATAATCAATGCAATAAAACACAGAGGCTGTAAATTAAAGACGAAAAAACTCAACAAACCATCTTACCAGGTAGTACACAAAACGACCAGATCGTTCAAGAACAGCACACTGCCCAGGTTGCCTCTCTGCACAAAACAGAAGATGACAAACACAACTAACAATCAGATTGGTGTAATTTGAGTTTTACACTTCTCAGTAACTGCAATCCACACTCACTCTGTGCCTTGAGCTCTTCAACTCCCTTAAAGTGCTTCTTGAAGAGTACAGCGATCCCGGCTCCCATCCGGCAGTCCTCACTGATGCAGTGCGCCAGGGCATCGGTGGGTGGACAGGTGAACAGATCACCTCTCCTGTGGAGCAGTTGCCAGCCTGAGCTGAACGAGGCCTGCCAAAGAAATAAGTAACAACACAAAACTGCTCACAACAAAACTAATCAATAACCAGGGTAATGCTTCTGAAATCAATCTTTCCTATATCAAAATAGATTTATTCTGTCTGAGGATCACAATTAAAGAGATAGTTCACCCAAAATGAAATTTACTAACTGATTATTCACCCTCAAGTGGCTCTAGATGTTAAGGAGTTTTTTTTCTTCTGTTGAACACAAAATACACAATAATATATCTTGAAATAAGCTGGAAATCTGTCAACATATACTCTCATAATAGGAAAAACAAATACTTGTTACAGGTTTCCATCTTTTTTCAAAATATATTGTTTAGTGTTTACCAGAAGAAAGAAAGGTTTGTAACAAGTAATGCGTGTGTAAATAACAACAGAAATTTCAGACAGAACAGAACTATTTCTTTAAAATGCTCTTGAATAGGTAGCCTTTTTATGATCTGTCTTACCTTCCTTGATACGAACTTGTCCATTAGATTCCTCTGAGATTTAAGAAGGGACTCGACTGTTGGTATGATTTTCTGCACAGACACATTTATTATATAGAATACAAAAATCTACTGAACACATTGAGTGTTATTGCTCAGGACAAAATCAGGGACTGTAAGCCACGTTTATAATATCATCAATATACACGCATAGACACTCAATATGCCAACTGTGCAATGCTGGTTCTAAAGAACAGGATTTAAAACAAACCGGTCAAACCTGTTTAAATATGCCGTCAAGGTTTAGTCGTATCTTTCATTTAAACACTTTTAAATGTATCAAATAACTTTTTTTTTAATTTATAGTCTACTATAATCATATTTAAATCAAAAACTAAGTAATAACACGTTCTGAGGAAACAAAACAGGTTTATTTAACGTTACATGTCCACCGACAGACGCATTGTGTGCTGACTAGAGCTGAAGGTTTAACTTACCAAACAATGGCGATGAATGTTTGGTTTTGCGTTCCTTTAAACATTCACGTAAATCAATTTCTGCAAATAAAGTGTCCGTAGAAAAACACAGGAAAACGCGCATTCGCTTCACTTTCGAATTGGAGGTTTAAATTGGGTTGTTTTGAGAGCTTTGAGCGCCATCTGGCGTGAGGGAGCGCCTTGTTTATAGATCCAAGGAAGAGCATTGATTAAAAGCTAATGAAAGTTCACGACAAATAAAGCTTGCGTCGATTATTGATTTGAAATGGCAGAAAACAATCTGTGACGTACTTGTTTGTTTATTCTTTTAAATGAGGCACAAGCAGGATTCAATGGATAGTCTGCAACTGCACAATGCTAATAGCTTACTGGAAGAATTAACTTGAAAGACTGTAAAAAATGCTGGGTTCCACACAATAGATTTGTTAATAGTTTTTACAAATTTAAGTAGATTGAACATAAAACCATTAAGTTGTCTCCTCCAAAATTCAAGAATTGTGTTGTTTCAGCCCATTTTAATTAAGTAGTTTGAACAAACAGCAAACATAATTTTTTTGAGTGTACTACTAATAAACATCTGTATTAAATAATAGTATTTGTATAAATTATTAATTAATGCATATATTTATAAGCCAACAGTTTAAGTAATAGTTAGGCCTATTATTAAATGCAGAGTGACGTGAGTCTGAGCGCATAATGTATATTTTAATATAGAAAGCTAAATATTAAATAATGTGTGTGATTACAATTTATTTAATTTTTTTTAACAACAGACATTTTAAATTGGTGGCGCAGTAGGTAGTGCTGTGGCCTCACAGCAAAAAGGCGCTGGTTCGAGCCTCAACTGGGTCAGTTGGCATTTCTGTGTGGAGTTTGCATGTTCTCCCCGCGTTCATGTGGGGTGCTCCAGTTTCTCCCACAGTCCAAAGACATGCGGTTCAGGTGAATTGGGTATGCTAAAATTGTCTCTTGTGTATGTGTGTGAATGAAGGTGTGTGAGTGTTTCCCAGTGATGGGTTGCAGCTGAAAGGGCATCCACTGCAACATGTGCTGGATAAGTTGGTGGTTAATTCCACTGTGGCGACCCTGGATTAATAAAGGGACTAAGCCAAAAAGAAAATGAATGAATGAATGAATGAATGATATCCTAGGTCAAAGTTATCAGCAGGGAAAGTATAGCTTAAATAGCTTATTAATTATTAAAACATGTTTAACACAGTCATGTATGCATAACATAGTTTTAGTCTGCAAAATAAGTTGTAATTTATTTTAAGGAGATTTTTTGAAATAATTACTACTATACCTAAAAAATGCTAATCTGTTTCAATTAATAAACTGTAGGAAGAGCAAAACTCTTCTAAACTTATTCATGCTTGGCCTTATATAGAAAACATAATTTTAAATCTGCAAAAATATACTTTAAAAACATTGAATGAAGAGTTATTTCAGTTATAAATCAGAATAGCTAATGTTGACTTTACTAATAAACACAAATCAAGCCAATATTACAATCTCTTAAAGGTTTGAGTCAAGTTTGAGCCATTGAAAAAACCGATGTGAATCGATGTGAACACAAAAATCTGTTGTACTATTTACTAAATACCAATTACTTTTATAAAACAAATGACTATAAAAATTTAACTAAATAGTTTTAATTACTAGCCTGAGTTTATGAGAAATTAGAAAACAAAGAATTACATAAACAAAACATTTAATATACAATTGGTGAGTTTTATTTTTGAGACATTTACAGATTCTGTGCCTTTACAATTAGGACCTTCAAAAAACTTAGCTCTTTACAATATTCATATATTTACAAAGATATGCCCATTTGAAACTGGCTGTTTTGTATGAATTGAGTAATATGCCATATACAGTAAAGGTCAGATGCACTTATATGCTGAATAATAATAGTCCTAATAACAAAAAGTCAATAAAACAAGAAACAATGAAGAAAAAATGAATATACACATGTAAAAGTGATTAAATTCTGTTGGTCAGAAAAGGACTAGGAGATAATGTATAAAGTAGTTGATAGAAGTATATACAGTTTATACTGATGACTCAAGATTGACTTTGACAACCCAGGACTGAGACTGGTTAAAGGGCAGGCTTATGTTAAGGGTTATTTTGGTGAATGTGGAGTTCAGAAGTTGGCGCTGCGGCGTCTCTGTTCATTGATCCAGTCCCCGGGGTTCACGTCCATTTGCAGCATCTTCATGACCCACTTGTCACGCCGAGCCCCGTCAATGAACTCATCCAGAGAAAGCTCTCCTGCGGACACCAAAGACAATCAGGACTGCCTTGGATCATTTAATTATTAATGCCAATGACATTAAAATAAACAAGGCTATATTATAAAGACTGAAAAGAGAATAACCAGAGTTTGATTAACTTTTTAGTAATTGTGTTGAAAAATAATAAATCATAGTAGATTTTACCATCTCCGTTCTCATCCACCAGCTCAAATATCCTGTCCACCACCTGATCTGGGGTAAGCAGGTTACATTCTGCATCGAGTTCACCATGGCAGGCTTTTTTTAGTCTGTAGATTGACTGTAAAAGTAACATAAAAGGTGATAATTGTGCTTGTGTAAACATGAATGCATACAAATATATGAACGTTTGTTTCTGCGATTTTAAAAAAGGTATTGTTTTGGTAATTGCAAGTTTACATCTGTTATAAACTGGTTTCGATTCAGTTTTTCATTCTTCTCAGAATTGTAAACTTTGGGAATTTTGTTTGTGAAAAAAATGTGGAGAATAAGTTATAACAGCAAGATATAAACTTAGAATTCTGAGGAAAATGTCAGAAAATGCAAGTGAACAAGTAGTTCTGAATTAATGTCTGACTTGCAAGATAAGAACAATTTTGAGAAGAGAAAAATATCAGAACGTTGAGAAAAAATGAAATTCTGGGAGGTAAACTTCCAATTCATGACCAATAAATTCAAAACTGCTTGATATAAAATGCTTTCTAAGAAAAAAATATTAGAATTACCAGACATAAACATGGAACTCTGTGTAAAAAGCCAGAACTGTGAGACATAAATGTAGAATTCTGAGAAAAAACTGGTGCATACACTGTAAAAACAATATATGATCAGTTAGTCCTGACAACATATTTTAGGTCATTCAATGAACTTATGTTCGCTGCGTAAAACCTATGGTGAATAAGTTGGTGGTTCATTTTGCTCTGGCGACTCTAGATTAATAAAAGGACTAAGGCGAAGCCGAAAAGAAAATGAATGAATGAATGAAATAACTTATTAAATGATGTAATCATGTTCTAACTTTATTTTATAAGCTGTTTTCTAGTCAGTTTAACATGTTATAAGTCCAAAGGACACATAAGGTTAATTTGTATAAGTATAAAAATCTAAGACAACCAGATTTTTTTTTTTTACAGTGTATAAACCTTGAGTTCTGACTATTACCCTCAAATTTGGGAAATAAAAAGTCTCAGTTACTTTTGTTTTTATTTCATAGTTTAAACAAGTTTCATATAAAATTCATATTGACAGTAGTACTTAATAATAAATATGTACACTTTAAAAAACAAGTAGTGGAATAATCTCAGCACACAAATATTCTGCTATACAAATATAGAGGTCAAATGGATTAAACCTCTATAAACATATCACCAGTAGGTTTCATTGTCTAGATAAAAGCTGCTCATCAAATCCTCATGAAACCTTAGCACCAATGCAGCTGGAGATCAGAAAACAGTACATAAAAACAAAACAGTAGATTAAAAACAGTACATTAGCACATTTTAACCAGAATTATTGATTTAATTATTGGTTGTTATTACAGCAACTGATTGTGAATTTGAAAATGCTCATTTTAATCACATTGGATTTAATTAATATTTTCTCTTTTTACAATTATCCAAAAATAATAGCTAAATTCTTATAATAAAATTTGTTAGATTTTATTGCAGACATTAAGTAATTTCAAAACAAAAAATGCCCTAAAAACAGGAAATGAATTTAATTAAATAAAGTGTACATATTAAATGTAATGAAATCTACAAGGCCACAGAACGACTTTTTTACAGCGTAGTCAATCACGAAGAGTTCTAATCTCAACCGATCTGTAAATCAGCCTGATTATTGTCTGAGCTTGTTGACCAACAGAAAGGACACAAGGGATGATTACCTCCACAATCTCCTTGAGCTCTGTTTTGTCGATGCAACCGCTTCCATCCTTGTCATACATTTTAAATGTCCATTTCAGTTTGTGCTCCAACTTCCCTCGCAGCACTAGATTCAAGGCCGCCACGTATTCCAGAAAATCAATAGTATTGTCCTGTAACAAAGAAAAAGAAAATCTCAGGTTCATACATTATATTATGTTAATTATATCATATTTTTCAATGTACTTCAAATGTCAAGTATTTTCTTTAGTAACACTTTATTTTTGATGGACTGTTTCTATTAACCCGAATCTCCATTCATACTATTATTTCTTTCAGAAGTTACTTCTAGTTAACAGAATGTTTAAAGAGGATCAAAATTAAGTATATATCCCTATATTTTTTAAAATATCTGAAATTGGACAACTTACCCCATTTTTATCAAAAGCCCGGAACATGTTTTCTATGTAATCCGCTGCTTCCGGGTTTTCAGTAACACCGAAAAAGCTCTTGAACTCGTGCATGAAGAGGGTTCCACTCGGACATTCAATCACAAACTTCTTATACCACTCCTGTAGTTCAGCAACATCAATCTCTTTTTCGTCCGAATCATCGCTGAGCCGCTGACCCATCACGAAAGATGAAAACAAAAAACACACAAGCTCTACTTCTCAACACAAAATGTCCATGATCACATATGGCTGCTTTAGTGTCCTGGAGTTCCTCCTGATCCAGACATCCCAATAAACCCCTAAGCTACTCAAATTGATGATACAATACAATAAAAAAAGACACTTTGAAGAAAAATAAAGTTGTTAAAAGGTGTCTGTGTTTACCAAAGTGTAAAAGTAAACTCAACCTGCCGGTGAAGGTGCTCTACTGGATTGAGATTCAGCACAAGGACTATTTTGGATCACATGACTGCAAGGGATTATTGATATCAATCCATGTCTGAATCAATTAGCTTGAAACAAGATGATCATTTAGTCCACAGAGAGTTCCACTGCTCAGCGCAGGTTCAATGGCTCCCCGAGATACCTATGTCAGAACATTAACCATGACCACACTATTTTTTACCTGTTCAAATTAATATAAATGTTTGGGTTCAAAGAGACTAAGTATATCAGATCGCTTTTTCACCTAATCACCAGGAAAAGCTGCTCAAAATGGATGTTAAAATAGCACTTAATTTTTGAGACAAAGTCGAACCAGTGAAGATCTTGCAGTCGATTTGAGGACATTAAAATAGATTTTAAAATGTTTAGTAAAATGTGTACATTAGTCAAAATTTGAAGTGGATCAGAAAACTTTTTCAAATTTGTCCCAAGACAAGAATGTGTGTTGTCCGGTAATTTTCGATGAAAGGTTTTGATCTACTTCAAATGTTGACTACTGTCTAATAACATCATTTTGAGGGGTGTAAACAAAAAACAATGGTCCCAACATGTTTCTTGTTTTACATTTTTATTTTCCATAGCTTCCGAGAATCCAAAAAGAGTCACATATTGATAAATAATGTTATGATAGCTGTTTTAACAATAAGTTATGATTGAATTGCCTCTAGTTACAGTTATGAATATGATTTGATAATGAGCAGGAAATGTTTATGGGCCAGTGACATGTACACATTGAAATGGTCTATAATCAAAGTTACAATCGAAAATAAATGTTTTTTTATTTTAACTGATTTCATAGCCGGTAAAAGTTCTGAAAAAAACAACAACAGAGTAGAGTGAATATCATTAATAATCAATGTCTGTTGTTTGGATGGTTTGGGACAATCGATGGCAATAAAATTGACATTAAAAGACCAAATGACAAACAGAATTTGTGGTTCTAAAATGTTACCAGACAAAATGTAGCACTGGTTGAGGGTTTGGGATCTGATAGGGTCTTTGGATCTAAAATGTTGAAGTGGCTCACTGGATACCGATCTTACTCAATCCTGTGAATCATTCAGACTATCTGAGTCATAATCCCCTCTGCCCTTCCTATTAATAGTTATTCAAAAATAGGATGCAGAGAAGTTTGGCCTAGTTCATGAGGGTGCTGCTTTGGACAACAATGAAAACTAAAATGCTATTTGATGTAATGTTTGCATAAGGAACTTTAACATAATTTCAACCTTACATTTACATAATAAATTGTTGTTGTTAATACACATTAGAAAATTCATTGACGGTGGATTACCATTTACATCTATGAAACTTTTCATAAAAGCTTTCATCGTGTTGTCGTGGGTTTGCTCTGGGTGCTCCGGTTTCCCCTACAGTCCAAAGACATGAGCTATAGGTGTATTGAATAAACTGAATTGGCTGTAGTGTATGTGTGTGAATGAGAGTCTTTCCCAGAACTGAGTTGCAGCTGGAAAGGCATCCGCTGTGTAAAAAATATGCCTGATAAGTTGGCGGCTCATTCTTCTGTGGGGAACCCTGATGAATAAAGGGACTAAGCTGAAGGAAGATTGATGAATGAAAAGTTTTTTTTTTTAATGTTTTTTGCACTAAGAATAAAAAAGTTTATCCTCCATTCAAGGTTGCTTAGATAACCAATATTGCTCATGACTGCTCTATATTGGGGCTTTTGCACCTAAAGAAAATAGTTCCTGTTACTATTGGCAAATGTACTTGCTTTTTGCAGTATTTGCACTGCAGGAACTAAACTATCAGTTCAAGTTTGTTTATTTTTAAAGTTAAAATGATTTTTTTTACGTTACACTCCTACAACACATAAACATAAAGTCATATTTGATTCCTAAAAGAACATTAAAGAGAATGTTAAAAAAAGTTTAATGTTAACCTAAATATTGATTTACCACCACAAAGAAAAAACCTTCTGAGCAGTCGAAAGGTTTAATAGATTTTCAAGCTCTCCATGGAACACTAATGGTAAAGAACCATTATATTAAAAAAATGATGTATGCAAATAACGCATACAATTATAACATTAGAAATGATTTTTGTTCAGTGTCAGAGATTCTACTTTAAAAGTTCATATACTCTTATTGTTATTCTTTTTAAAAGCGTTTACATATTGTTTTTGCAAAAATCCCATTTTCTGTGACTGATTGACCTATACACTTCAAAAAAGCTGGGTTCCATACAAACAATTTGTGTTTGGACAACATGAAGGAATTAGGTTAACTTATTAGTTTTTACAAGTTAAAGTAGATTGAACATAAAAGAAACTTCAACAACCAACAAAAATATTTTTATGTACATTGTAAAAAGTTATTAGTTAAACCAATTGCCTTAAAAGCAACAAGTTGACTTTACAAAAATAAAGTGCATCCATTACAACTTGGAACTATTAAGTTGAATTTTATAATTATGTTAATGACTTACTTTTTTTTAAAGTCAACTAATCCATTCTTACAGACTATTTTAGCACTTATGTAAAAAAAAAAAAAAAAAAAAAAAAAAAACTACTATAATTATCACAATATTACGTACTTGGTGCTTCATTGAGTCTATAAAATCTACAATTATAGGCTGTATTGAATTTAGAAGACACGCTGGAGAGCAGATTTGGAAAAAGTAAATAGTTTACAATGAGTTTACATACATTATTTTCGTAAAGTCAACTTGTTGATTTTAAGTTTTGGTTTACTCACTTTAAGTAACTAATCAAATTTTAAACTGTATGCTCTACAACATAAATTGCACAGATATAACCACATATAACGATAAGTAGAATGCTGATACAGTTTAGTGTGCACCGTTTTTCACCACCAACATTTTAGGTTGAAAATCTCACTATAAAACCCTACAGAAAAATCTCAAATAAAGTTTTGATGTCTTTCACAGAGCAAGACAATTCACAAACCTGTTTTAAACATAATAATGTTGCTCAGTTTCATTTATTACCTCAGGTTACAGCAAATAGTTCATTATATAATGACTGAAGGAATCTGTTGGAGAAAGTATGGCATCCTGTTATCAATATAAGGCCACAATGTCAATAGTTCTGCAATGAGGTTGTATTACCTCGAGGAAATGGGATTACACATGTGATATTAAAGAATAAAAATGCAAAACAGTACACTGACGGTATATAAGATTTTTTCATGACGGTATATAAGATGATAATCTCTTTATGTGCAGTGGAGAAGTGTCTGACTTGTGGGTGTTCACAGTGCATCGTTCTTCACTATAAAAATACATTTTGGAATAAACAAGAAAGTAGCATCGGTCACATTAAGGACGCATTAGTTAATGTATTTACTAACATGAACTAAAAATGAACAATACTTGAACAGCATTTATTAATCATAGCATTTTTAAAATCTTGTTAACATTAGTTAATGCACCAAAAGTTAAACTATAAATGACTTTATTTTCATTAATCAATGTTAACAAATGATGAAAAAAAAACTATAATAATTTGTCACCTTAGAATTATAAGGTTCTATCTGAAATTTTGTCAAAATAGACTTATTGACATGCTCTTATTAAATGACTTTGTGTGTGTGCGCTCTCTTCTCCTGCCTGCTCTTTCTGTTCTCCTTAAGAAGAGTGTCTCTCCAGCCCAATCACTAGAATAAACAGATGTTATTTATTATTTCTGATTGGCCTGCTGATTAGCCGCCAGGCTCTGAGCATGCTCTCCCCCCTCATTGGGTTTTCGATCATTCTATACCTCTCCACACACACATAATGTTTGCTATATGGAATTTAAAAACTTTGAAGCTCAATATCTCAAAATGATCAGATAGAACCTTATAATTCCAAGGTGACGAATTGTATTTTCCCCTATTTATTTCATGTTAGTAGATACAGCCACTATTATTATCTCATAAACCCTATTGTGAAGTGTAACATTATTTTAGTCTTGCTATACACTCAGAAATAAAGGTATGCATGCTGTTACTGAGGAGGTACCTTTTCAAAATGTACACATTTATACGTAAAGGGTCCATATTGGTACCTCAAAAGTATATATTCATTCACTCATTCATTTTCTTTTCAGCTTAGTCCCTTTATTAATCTGAGGTTGCCACAGGGGAATGAACCGCTAATTTATCCAACATATGTTTTACGCAGTGGATGCCCTTCCAGCTGCAACCCGTCACTGGAAAACACCCATACACACTCATTCACACACATACCCAACAAACAATTTAGCTAAACCAATTTACCAACAGCGCATGTCTTTGGACTTGTAGGGGAAACCGGAGCAGCCGGAGGAAACCAACGCAAACATGGGGAGAACATGCAAACTCCACACAGAAATGCCAACTGACCCAACCGAGGCTTGAACCAGCGATCTTGATGTGAGATGAGAGTGCTGTGCTACCCACTGCACCACTGTGCTGCCCAACGTATATATTAGCTAAATATTTAACCTAAAAATTTTAAGAGGAACACTTTTGTACTTTTAAGGTAGTATGTACCCTTGAGGTATTAATACTGTATGTTCATTTTAGGTACAAATTTGTACCTTTTGAAAAGGTATCACCCCAGTGACAGCATGCATACCTTCATTTCTAAGAATGTACTATTATATTCAAGTCACTCTCTGCAATAACTTAATTAACGTAATTATTTGTGAAATTTACTAAATTGTTTAAAAATTGTTATTCCATTTTTTTTTAAAATTAGTTTGTTAGTTGGTAACACAGCCACAAAAGGCTGTCCGTTTTGTCAGTCCATGATATTTAAAGACCTTTTCCAAAGTGCTGACTGCATATTTCATGAGGATAAGCTTCTCTGGCCTAGAGCGATCCAGGCCACTCATTGCACAATAATTAATAATCTTATTGGATTAATACAGGATGCAATAACAAATATGGAAAACAAGAATACAACACAAATTACACACACATTTGTGATGTAAAATAGTCTAAAAGCTATGTTTCCTCATAT